ATGAGATATAATTCATCTGATCTGATCTGGGTTTGGAAATTTTGGGGGGCATTTTCGGCTGATTGCACATGGATTGTGACAGCTTTTTAGTTTGGGATGCATCATTGATATGCCTCAGCTTCGAATACTTTGGAAGCTGACCACTTTGAGTATGTTTTTTTTTTTTTCTGAAATGAGGATAACTGACTTGAAATGTCTCTATATATACCTATCTAAGGACTGAGGAATTCTTAAACAACTGAAAGGATGAAACATTTTCGAAGGTGTGCCTGGAAGTAAAATGAGTCTGTTTCAATCTGTGCAGGTGGTACTGGTGAAAAACAAACCCATATTAGAATAAGAGGATGCTACAACACAGTGTGCTGAGGATATGCCAATTTCTTCTGTTGGCCCTGTGCATTTTTGCCAGTGAAGACTTTGACTGGACCAAGAACGAAATGGGATCATTTCAATATGGCACATTTCCTTCAGGTAAAGCCTTACTCATAACAGCAAATAACACTTACAATCAACAGCAAATATAAGTGTGTTCTACACTTATAAAGAACAATAGGTTCGGTAATATATCAAGTGATATATCATGCAAAATATGCAATATGGTCACAGCACAGTTACAATAAACAGTGATTAAAGCAAGTAAATACCACAGTAAAAAAAATCCTGTCTTACTTAAAAGGATAATTCACCCAAAAATTTAAATACTGTCATCTCACTCTCAAGTTGTTCCAAACCTGTATGAATTTCTTTCTTCTGCTGAACACAGTATAAGTTATTTTGAACAATGTCAGTAATATTTGTGACCCTGGACCACAAAACCAGTCTTAAGGGTCAATTTTTCGAAATTGAGATTTATACATCATCTGAAAGCTGAATAAATAAGCTTTCCACTGATGTATGGTTTGTTAGGATAGGACAATATTTGGCCGAGATACAACTATTTGAAAATCTGGAATCTGAGTGTGCAAAAAAATCTAAATACTGAGAAAATCGCCTTTAAAGTTGTCCAAATTAAGTTCTTAGCAATGCTTATTACTAATCAAAAATTAAGTTTTAATATATTTACAGTAGGAAATTTACAAAATATCTTCATGGAACATGATCTTTACTTAATATCCTAATGATTTTTGGCATAAAAGAAAAATCAATAATTTTGACCCATACAATGCATTTTTGGCTATTTCTACAAATATACCCCATCGACTTAAGACTGGTTTTGTGGTCCAGGGTCACATTTGATGTTAATGTTTGATATAAATTATTCATTTTCAGGGTTCTGTATAATGAATGCATATACAAACACATACACAAGAATGATATATACTGTTTTTAGATAAATAGCAGAGTGTGTATACATACATTTTCAGGATTCTCTTGGGGCGCTGGCAGCTCAGCATATCAAACAGAAGGAGCATGGGATAAAGACGGAAAAGGAAAGAGCATCTGGGATGTGTTTTCTCACAAAAGAGGGAAAATTCACCTAAATGACACTGGTGACTGTTCCTGTGAAGGCTATCATAAAATCAAGGTGCAATGATTTCCTGATCAGAAATACGCAATGATGTATGTAGATGCTTTGGTTCTAAGATAATCTTTTCAATGTGTGTTTTAGGATGATATCGCACTGATGAAAGACATGAAGCTGAACCACTATCTCTTCTCCATCTCCTGGCCAAGGATTCTGCCCAGTGGCATTAAGAGTAATTCAATTATTATGCCAAAAAATTTTTTTTAATTCTTGAAATGTTTTACAAGAGTCATTACCAAAAGTATTTTGATTGTTTTTTAGATGACTACATCAATGACAAAGGGATAGAGCACTATGATAACTTAATTAATATGCTTCTGGAGAACAGAATCACGCCGATTGTGACACTGTACCATTGGGACTTGCCTCAGATAAAATCAAAAAAATGTAGCTTCTACATTTGGTGTGAATTGACTTAATGACCGTTAAAAAATATGTTCTCTATAGTATGAATATGGCTAGCGTGAATACAATTTGGACGGACATACTACATCCGCAATGTTGTCACTGTCACGTGACCTACCAGCGTCAGTTGCTTCGCTCCTCTCCCGTGGCATCATAGGATATTAAAGTGTCCACTGGATGTGCATATCAGAATCTAGTCAGAAGTAGTAGGTCATTCGGGTACTTGTCACCTACTGTTTTATGAATTCAAGTAGTATGAACTGTATCATCTTGCGTACTGTTTTTCCACCTACTATAGCTGTGAATTAAGCATATTCGGACGCAGGGAATGTTTTTAAATTCTCTTTCAAAAAACATGTATGATAAGTACGTCAGAGTACACATCTTTAAAGAGAGTATACATCAATTTGATTTAACTTTTAAAATCATATCTGTGGTTTTTCAAGTTCTGGAGGAGAAATATGGAGGTTGGCAAAATGCCAGTATGGTCAATTTCTTCAATGATTTTGCCAATCTGTGCTTTGAGAGATTTGGCAATCGCGTCAAATACTGGATCACCTTCAACAATCCTTGGGTAAGAATTGTAAAAGTAGTTATTGTCTGATATTATCTGTTTCAAAGTCCACTTTTACATCCTTCCATTTTTCCAGTCAGTTGCAGTGGAGGGTTATGAGACTGGAGAACATGCTCCTGGTCTGAAGATGAGGGGTACTGGTGCCTATAATGCTGCCCACAACATCATTAAGGTGATCAAAATCCACTGCAGTCCACTATAGTCTAATAACTATAATAAATGAGCAACAGAAATAACTCATATGCTAAGTTAGCAATGCAATGCTCTGATTATGAACAGCAGATAAAAAAGCTAAATCTAAATAAAAAATGCAAATAAGCATGCATTTAGGGATGGCAAACTTATCAGCTATTAAAATCACTGTTTCTGGTAAAAAATTCAAATGCAGTAAAATGAAGCTCATTTTTATCCTCTGCTGCACTGACAGGCTCATGCTAAGGTCTGGCACACATACAATGCCCAGTGGCGAAACAAACAGAAAGGTAGACAAATTACTTTTACCCTGTCAAGGCATAATGGTCCAAACAGGTACAAGTGTTTCTGCCATTTTAGGCATGGTGGGCATCTCCCTGTCAGCTGACTGGGGAGAACCAGTGGACATCACCAATCAGCGCGATATAGAAGCCGCTGAAAGATATGTCCAGTTCTACTTCGGCTGGTTTGCCACACCACTCTTCCATGGAGACTATCCTCAAATAATGAAAGACTACATAGGCAAGCAAACCATAAATAAATGATAGGCTTATTTAGTTGGGGCTGAGGATAATTTACAATTATTACATAAGTATTTCTGTGTTTCATTTCTGCAGGTAGGAAGAGTGCCCAGCAGGGCCTAAGTAGCTCTCGTCTGCCTACTTTCAGCCCTCACGAAAAAAGTTATGTCAGAGGCACTTGTGACTTCCTGGGTATCAGTCACTTCACTACGAGCTACATCACACTAAAGAACTTTCCTTCCAACCATGCAAACAGCTACTTCACTGACCATGACCTGGCTGAGCTGGTAGACCCACAGTGGCCTGATCCTGGATCAGAGTGGCTCTACTCTGTGCCATTGGGCTTCCGCCGTCTGCTTAGCTTTGTAAAGGTACATTGACACATCTCTGTAAACAACTATGCAACAACTACTTCAGCCTGTGGCAAGTAGTCTGACTAGAAATGGCACACTGGCCTTTTGTGACTCAAATCCCTCTATTCTTAGACACAGTATGGAGACCCCGTTATATACGTAACAGGAAATGGTGTATCAGAGAAGATGATGTGCACAGAACTGTGTGATGACTGGAGAATGCAGTACTTGAGGGATTACATCAATGAAATGCTCAAAGGTCAGAATCAATATAGAAATCTATGTCTTCTATTTTTAAATGCTCTTACCAGTGGTTTTCAACAAGGAGGCCAGAACAAACCTATATATATACAGTGGGTACGGAAAGTATTCAGACCCCCTTAAATTGCTGAATTTGTTAAGTTTTAGAGGGGGTGTACTCATTTACCGTACCCACTGTATATATACATATATATATATATATATATATATTAAAAAAGATGGAATGATCAAACTGAAATCATATTTCTTTTTTCCCATCAAAGACTATTTTTATAGAAAAAACTTTAGAATTGTGTATAATTCATTTCAACACTCCCAGTTTCTGTTAATAAAAAGATTTGAAAACATTGTCAAACAGTCAGCATTGTAATACCTTCAGCAGAAATATCAGAGGAAATATTTTAACCATTGTGATGGTTATGGATGGATACTGAGTTGGAAAATGGGAGGCCTTTCAGTCAAAAAAGTTGAGAACCACTGTTTTAGAACAGACTGCATAAATTGAGCCATTCGATCTGAGTCACAAAAACATTCAGAACACGCAAATCAAAATTGACAGAAACTTGATTACAGACTGAGCATGACTGATAGTGGTCTATAAAATGCTTTCTTTCAAACACAAGAGTTCTACAGAGCTCCAAATCATAATTCTCTTTATACGTTGATAAATAAAGTCTATACAACCACTCAAAGGAACCTTTTTGTTTTTTGTTTTTTTCATTCAGCGGTTAAAGATGGAGTGAATGTGAAAGGCTACACAGCTTGGTCATTGCTTGACAAGTTTGAGTGGGATGAGGGCTACTCTGAAAGATTTGGCCTGCACTACGTGGACTTTGGCAGCAAAAATAAACCACGCTACCCCAAAGCATCAGTTCAGTACTACAAGCGCATCATCAGCTCGAATGGTTTCCCTAATCAGAGAGAGGTATGACTTCAATGAGTTTAGCATTAAAATTGTATGCTAAATTAATTTTTTATTTCATCTTTTGAGTCAAAGTGTACAAGAGTCTTAGCATTTTTTGTGCAGTCTGTGTGATAAATATATATTATGTCTTTATATTATGTCTCAGTTTACATCTTATGAATTTAAATTGGATAATGTTTACCACAGATCGAAAGCTGGAAAAGAAAGGCACTGGAAACATGCACCTCAAGCAACCAGCTCCTTGCGGCAGGTTAGTGTAACTGTTGCTGACTTCTCTCCCACTGGGCAGCACAGCCGGCAATGATCTAGCTGGGGCAAAGAAAAGAAAATCCTGTCACAAATTACATTTTCTATTTATAACCAAGCACAATATATAGAGAAGGAAATTATATGGTAACTTTCTAACAGAAATTTTCTTTTGTTTGCCCTTTCAGCTAGAAGAAAATCCAAGGAAAATAAGGCACATGCAGATATGCCAAAGGTTTGGCCTGTGCATGATGAGGTTTAGGTACTGGGGCTGAGGATGTCATGTTTCATGTTTTCTGTCCAGTGCTAGTGCGATTTTCGAATACCTTTATGTTTTCACTGAATGTATCTTTTATTAGTTGTCACTGACTTACTGACTTGTTTTTCTCCAGATCCACTGATCAGCCACATGGAGATGGTCACAGAGATTGTCATCCCCACTGTGTGCACTCTCTGCATTCTCCTCAGTGCAGTCTTTCTCATGTTCCTGCTTAGAACACGAATATAAAACAGACTGCTTCACATTTACACAACTATATTTTTTCACATTGCATGTGTCTGTACCTTCTCTTTTTTATTGATTATTGTTAATAACGATGACATGCCGAGACTTGTTTACATGTAAATTCAAATAAAATGGTCCACAAATGTACATCTGTGTTCATGAATTGTTGGACCATCCAAACAACTCTCAACAAATTACTGAGGATAAGTTGAGGTTTGGGTGTTTGATTATGAGGTGAGAAAAGTTAGATGGAAGTTTCTGAAACTTTCTGAAAGCAGTTATGTAACCCTATTAACAATGGTGTTTGTATATGTGGCAAACAAACAGACAATAAAATAAATACCATAATAACTGTGTTTGTGAAACCTTTTAAAATACTGAAATTCAGTGGAACTATAACCTACCAATACATACATACATTGCAGTATTAAGATCCACGTGTATGAGATCTGTGCTTTCAATAAAGTTTGAAAACCTGCATTATACCTGTTTTGGTATTTTGATGTGTCTACCTCTGTAAACTCAGGCAAAACTATCCGTTTTGTTTTGTTGTGAAAGTCTGTATTTCCAGTTCTCCGCGCCGGTAGACGTCGCGGTTCTCCTCAGCCACGAGAGCAGCGACGCAACAGAACCACTGGCGTGCGCCGCAGCAGAGATTTGATTGGCTGAGGGAAACCTTAGCCTATGAAGGTAGAATGACGTCAAAAAGATTTGCATACGCAGGGTAAGAGTTGTGGAAGTGTACATGAGACTGCAAGCGGGATAAATACAGTGTTGGTAGCATAATCTGATAGGTAGCATTATTTGTCAGAACACATGCAGAAATGTCGGAAATATAATATAGAGAGAATTAAAATGATGAAGAACTTAAAAGGTAATAAGAAAAAAAAGAAGATAAATTGGATATTATGAAAAGGATTAAAAGAAGGTATTAATCAAAGAAATTAAACAATAAAATAAAATATGAATAGAGACGGGACTGTATATAATGTATATAAACAGTTGGTGGCGGTATGTGCCTACGGTGCGGAATACGCCAAAAATTCCAAAGAAGAAGAAGAAGAAGAAGAAGCCACGGCCGGCGGCAGAAACTTTGGCTGTGGTCCGTGTTGATGATCTTGTGCTGCGGTCGGTGTTGAAGTTTCGTCCTTTGACAGCATTTATTCAGTAAGTTCGGTGGACCGCACTGAAATGACGGTGACATCGGTTGGGCTTGATATCCAGACATGGGCGAAACCGAGGACGATGTGCGGATTGACGTTGTCTGGCGCCAAAATGCTGTGACAGTAACAAACAGCTCTCCTCTAACGTTACGTTTACATTAATCTGTTCAGTTCTATGATTGTATGTGCGCTAGATGTGCTAATATAAGGATTAGTTCCGATCATTAAATCATGTACCATTGTTTTGTACAGTTTATGTACTTTTCAGACTATTTTTTAAACCCATAAACTTCATTATTTTCATAAATGAGTCCGTGACATTGTTTGGATGAATATAGCGTGCAACGCATACTCGGCCGTCTATTTAAACATACTGCAAAAATAAGATTTTTTTTTAACATTGAAGTCATTGAAGCCAATAATTTACTTGAACGCCACTGAAAGTATAATTATTGTGTTGTAGAATTGAGCATATGCTCCTATCTCTCTACAGGATCCCGTGCACCATGCTCGATCCGTTAGAAAATGACGCGTTTGACATTCCAGATTATGAGCACATAGAGGATGAGAGGTTCCCTCCTCTCCCTCCTCCTCCATCGCCTGGTCAAGGAGACATCGAGGAGGATCCTTTTGGCAATGGAGAGGGTCTGTCTTTCATGGTGCTCCTATGCTATAAGTGCTCAAAATCTTTAGGAATCTTTGTCCAATTGATGCTATAGTAATGTGAGCTGTTCCCATGCTACATGTTTAGGTGAGGAGGAAGGAGAAGTGTCAAAACTAGCAGAAGTGCCAGTGGCAAAAAGACGAACAGTGAAGAGGCCTCAGCCTAAACTGGATGCAAACAGGTACTGAACCAGATGCCAGTTAATTGATAATTACTTATAATAATTTGTTTGTTTTAGCAGACAGTCTGTGTTTGCATTAACGTCCTACTTTACCTGCGCTCATACAGTATACTCCCGAAAAGCAATATATACTATATAGCAATTATTGGCTGCATGATGGTTTTTGTCGCAAAATGTAAACCGTATTATTGCACAGTTCTGTATATAAAGTTGGATATATTATTTCCAAATGTATCTATCTGCATACATATAGTGCGTATATATAATGTATAGCAAATCTCAGCAACCTGATTTTTTTAATTTGTAAAATGTAACCATATGATATTATCACCCAGCTCTTTATATAGCTCTAATATACTATGTAGCATTTTTAAACCGCATTATTGCTTGTATCATCACAAAATGTAAAATATATTACATAATTAAGATATTGTAAACATTAGCATCGTGATTTTCTTTATAACTGCTTTAAAACAATATATATTATGAAAGGTGCTATAAATAAATATGACTTGACTTGAGTTTCTCCAGTGTTTACAGTTCACCACCTCCTTCATCTCTTCTCTCTTTTAGGTTGATTTCTGAGAAGGGTCTTCCAGCTTTGCGTACTTTATTTGAAGATGTTAAGTTCAAAGGCAAAGGGCATGAGGTAATTGCTAATTTTTCACTTCATCCTCACCATTTGTGTGTGAAATATTGAAATACTCCTGAATTCAGGTGCCGTTGTTCTAACATTTATGTATATAAATGAGTCGATGTGATATGTGAATTCAGTTGTCAGTGAGCACCCTCTTCATTTATTTCTGATTCAGGCAGAGAATCTGAAGCTCCTTTTGCAGAAAATGGAGAACTGGGCCCATCGCCTATATCCTAAAATGCAGTTTGAGGAGTTCATTGATAAAGTGGAGAGTCTGGGCAGTAAAAAAGAAGTTCAGGTAAGATGTCTGGCACTAATGCAAAAGAACACTTTATCTTGAGGCAAATTCAAGCTTAACTAGGGGCCGCTCACTCAGGATTTGTTCTCTGTGCTATTGTTTTTCATGTAATTACATTTTTTATGTCTGCTTTTTTGTGTATATATTTGGCAAAAGTTATATTTTTGGCTTTTATGCCTTTATGATAGGACAGTAGAAGTGGTGACAGCAAGTGATAAGAGAGGGGAGGAAAAGACCATGTGCGGTACTCAAACTCAGGTCATATCCAGCCAGTCGATTTTAAATGTTGCTCTATGTACACATGCACTAGACAATTGTCTTAGGCTGTTGCACCATGTGTCGCTGTTTTATTTCTTGATGCCACACCATGATTTCCATGTTTTTAGTGTTAAATGTGTGCTTTAACATTAACAACAGTACATGGGATTTAAAGCACATATAAATGCCTTCTGTTTAATCAACGCAAGAATGAATCCTGTTTGAATACGATATTTAATCTAGGAAGTATGGACCTCATTTAAAAGCCCTCAATGTGTGCTATTGTACATCCTTAATGGAAGTTGTCTGCATCCTTTGTTAATGCTTTACTTTGTTTCTCCATTAGACATGTCTTAAACGAATTCGATTGGACATGCCAATAACACACGAGGACTATGTTGGTAATGATACTTTAACTTTTGGCTGTCTTGTATTACTATTGAAAGCAGCAGGTATCAATTCATTGACTTTCTACTCCCCTTCAGAGGATGCTGAGGTTCGAGTACCGGAAGAGTCTGATCCAGTTGGAGACGAAGGTTTCCCTGAAGACCCGTTTGTCCATTCTACTCCTGCTCCAGCCCCTCTCACGGAGGAACAGCAACAGCGCATAGAGCTCAACAAACAGCTGGCTCTGGAGAGGAGACTTGCAAAGCAGAAACAGTTAGGTGTGTGGAGTCATTAATGTCATCACCATCATGTGGGTGTTTGTATGGTGTGTTTTACGATTAGAATGAAAGTTCTCTCATTTGCCTATAGTCCTGCAAAAAATCTGGGTCCACTGTTATGCATATAGATTCAGCTGCTTGAGTCTAGTTTTTGTATCACTATTTGATACTTTTTCCCCACAGAATCCTCACAGAATTCCATCCAGGCAGATGCAGATGAACCATCAACCAGTTCTTCAGGACAGTTCCTCAGTCAAGAGAATCAGGGCCCTTTCGATCAGAGCACCTCAGCCCATACGCCACTCAATCAAAAGTCAGCTGCGCTTCAGAATTCCCCTTTATATGATAATGAGTGTGCTAGTCCAGTTCCAAATGGCATAGTTGACGATGATGATGATGATAGCAATTGAACCAATCCTCCCCGTTTGTACCAAGGGGACTGTGAATAAATTGAGTGTTTTTGTGAAGGGCAATTGCAATCAGATGGGCTTTTCCATGTTTAACCTCTTCCCAGTCATATGCCAAACACCTTTTGCAGCTCGTTGGCATGTTTTGTAATGCCAACCCCGGGCTTGTTCACCACAATGATCTTATACACCCATTAATCTAGTTCAGTTTGCTTGCATTTTGTCATGTCATATCTTTCATCCTCTGAGGATTTTGGAATATATTTGCTCATATTGAAAACATTTCCCTTTTTGAATTTTATTCATAGGTTCACAACTCCACAGTAATCTCTATGTGAACCTGAGAATAAAATCGCCACTTGGCTGAAGTTTATTATAATGTCCCAATGTAAGCACACAATACTGCAGGACAAAGTGAGCTTTTGAGGTTGACCCATATCCCCTTTTTTTTTTTGTAAATGTCAGTTTGTCACCACTTTGTAATGTTACTGTTATGTTTATCCCTGTTATTTCAGTGTACTTTTTTTTTTTTTTCTGAATAAAAATGTTAATGTAGAAAACCATTTATGTGTGTTGTGATTTGTGTAGACCTATATTTTGAAGTATATGACTTACAATCTGAACAGATTTTAAAACACTAGGCGTCATACATTAAATGACCAAGGATCACACAATGCCATTTAAAGTCATTCCCAGCACAAAATAAATATGTGCCTTGCTGCTAGGAGACACATAACAAAAATTATTTTTAGCTCAAGACTGATAATGTGCAACTAGTTTTGATTTTAAATTAGGGCACATATCTGGTTAAAAGTGTATTCCAGCCTGTAGCAGAGCTACTTAAGAGTCTCATACTTTAATTCTGTAGCATCATAGAAGAAAAGGAAACGTGGATCATAAAAATATTGGCGACATAAAAATACATTTTATTTCCAAAAATATTTATATCATTATTTTTACATGATCAAAATGGAAAGCATTAACTGCAAGCATGGAAATCTATAAGCCTGCTTCAAACAATATTTAGGTTACATACTGGTTTCTCTTAAATAATGTTTTTCATTTCATTTCAAATTAAAACTTGACACCACACAGGAAGATGATGCCTAGAGTGTATCTGCAGTCGAAAAGCTGGTCTTCAAATATAAAGCCATTGACTTCACAGGAAACTTAAGGTGAAGAACCTGACCAACTTTCACTTAAGAAATCATGTATTGGACAAAGCAAAGAAACCAGTGTTCATAAGTCCTGAGTAAGTGTAACTCATTTTTGTCAGGTCACATCTAAACACTTCAATGGAAGTCCATGGCAAATATTACAAAACCATCCCTAAAGCTCACT